TCCTAAATAACAAAAAGTCTGTCTTTTTCCTCTTTGTTTTCAATAAAAAAGTACATTAGATAAATCTATTTAGTAAAATTAATTTTAATTTTTTTTTAAATTAATAATTCCAAAACATTTCCTCAACATAAAGTGTATTATAAAAGTGTTTATTTGTGTAATTTTTTAATTTTTTTCAAAACTGGCCAAGCCGGCCGGATTGAAAGTGGGGAAGTTTTGGACCGCGGGCCACATGTTTGGCACCCCTGCACCAGAGAGGCACATGCTCAAAGAACACATTACAACTTCTGGAGCTGCTGTTTTTAACCGTATAACTCAGCCCACAGTCCCTGGACTAACCTGCTGCCTTGTGCTCAGTGAGGCTGCTCTGATCCAAAAGCCCAGCATCTCACCTGAAGTTGAAGAGTCAACAAGCACACGCTGGGCGGTGACATATTATTTCAAGCTGACCCCCCAGTGTGAGCACGTAAGGTGTGTATGGAGTGTGTATCAGAGCGATGATGCGTGGATGGACAATGGAATTATTGGATACACCATTCTGCCCGTGCACTAAAATGACTTCAAAATGTTTATCCGTTTAATCCTTGCATATGAAACCAAACCATTACTTCATTTATTTAACCTATTTGACTTTAAAACAAACACTCTGTGATTGATTCATTTATGAATAAATACATTAAATAATTAGATACAAACTTTTTATTTGATCAAAAACGACATCACTGTCCCGTTCCTACCATCAACATCAGTTTGAGGATGCAGTGCCCAGATAATGGTTCGCTGAATAATTTTGTTCCTATTTCTACATTTCCTAGGCATGATTTTTTGTAAATATAATACATTTGCAATACAAAAAAACTACCCACTTAATACTTGTATTACATTGTGAAGTACTTCACACTCTTGACAGCAGATAAAATGTAAATTCCTATGATTAGGGTCTACTTCAGCCACGAGTGGGAGCATCTGTTGAATAAATTGGCTCTAAAACAATCTGTGTAGCTGCAAACAGTTTCTCTGCAACGTATTTATATAATTGTAAATTAGAAAAAAAAAAGCTAAGCAATTTAAGTTTTTTTTTTCTTTAGGACAAAGTTAGCTCAGTTCAATTAAGCATCTAACTCAGTGTTTTTCAATCTTGGGGTCATGACACCATGTGGGGTCATCTGGAATTCATATGGGGTCGCCTGGAATGTCTAGTAATTGATAAAAGATAAACTAAATTCTTTTAAAGAATATGATTAAAAACACCAGATACAATCCTAAACAACTGTATTATTCCACTTCCATGAATATAATTCAAGTTTAAATAAAATGCGGCGGGTCATGATTTTGGGCGTTCAGCAACAACGACATGAGAAAAGGTGTTTAAACATCTTTAAATCTTCAATTGTGAAGAAAATATGACCCATAAAACAACCCTAATAACTTTGCAGGTGCTGAGGGTAACGCTGCGGGTTCTCAGCAGCCGTGAGTCTGAATCGGAGTCCTTTTCTACAGTAACTGATTCCATCATGTGTGAGATGATTAGATTCCTCCGACAGCTCTGTTCGCCCAGCACCCTGATGAGCCGAGACATAACTGGCTTGAGTATGAGACGTGTCTGCGTCTCTGTTTTCGTTCGGTACGACAGCGTGGAATACAACGGCAACGTTATCCGACGCAGGTAATACAACATAATTGATACTTAATCACATAATGTGACAGAATTAATGATCAGATTTTGTTCTATGTAGTCAAATAAACATCACTTA